TTTTGGGTTGTTCTCTCCTCCTGTTTGGGATAATTAGCCTGAAATCACCTTTCTGCCTTTTTAGTGCTGCGTCATGGTTCGTGGTGGAGTTCGGTTTGTGGCTTTATCTCTGTTCGGAGAGCCGGAACGGTTGCTGAGTCAGTCTGTTGTTTCTCCTTTTCTGCTGCTGTTGTTGTTGTTGTCGTTGTTGTTGTTGTTGTTGTTGTTGTCGGAGCCTGATCTATAAAGCCCCCCCCGATGATGCTTGATCAATAGAACGTAGTCGAGTGCTGCCTCAGCGTTTTCAGAAAAACCTCTGAGTCATGAAGTGCTTTTCCTGGAAGCGTGGCCTCGTCTTTGTCCTTCATTCATTCTTTTCCTCAGACGAGGTCAAAGATTTCATCTCCACGCCGGGGGATGTTTCTCTTCTTTTTCACTTCAGCTTTTTTCCCTTCCGATCCGATCCCGGCCTATCAGGGCATGTGTTAAAGTTTAAAGTTATTTATCTACTTACTTAGTTGTCAGACTCATGTTGAACAGGGATTTACTCTGATAACAAATTAATGGTTAGGACACAGACCTGTGGGAAATGCTGCATTCAGAGCTCTAAATGTGGTTGGAATTGGTTTATATCTCCATTTCTATTCTTTTATTGGACTTTTACTTAAACTTCTGTAACTCTTGATGATGAATTCAGCTTCCTGATGAACCTGAAGTCTACTTTTCGTACTTCTTCCTACCCTGGTCCTGATCCGGTATCTGGATCGGATCGGCCAGCAGGAGAAAATGCAGATCCAGACTCCAGATTTAAAGTCTGATTCCATACGAGCATTAGCATTAGCATCTGTAACCCACAGGTCTGTGTCCTAACTATTAAGTTGTTATCAGAGTAAATCCCTGTTCAACATGAGTCTGACAACTAAGTAAGTAGATAAATAACTTATATTTATCTTGACTTATTTCGGGATCCCTCAGACGTGAAAAAAGCTGGATGGGGACGTCCCTAGTTTGAAGGCACCCCAACAAAAGAGGCTCCATTTGTTTTGGAGGTTTTCCCACCAGAGATGTGACCCTCTTTGTTCAATAGTGCATAAATAGCTAACACAGCTTACATTTAGTATGGGATTAGATTCTTTCTTTGGCTTTAAAAGGTTTTTGTTGATTTTTAAAGAGGCAAAAAACCTTAAATCACTCATTAGCATTAGCATTAGCATCTGTAACCCACAGGTCTATGTCCTAACCATTAAGTTGTTATCAGAGCATTAGCATTAGCATCTGTGACCCACAGGTCTGTGTCCTAACCATTAAGTTGTTATCAGAGTAAATCCCTGTTCAACATGAGTCTGACAACTAAGTAAGTTGATAAATAACTTTAAACTTTAATACATGCTCTGATATCAGTTCTATATTTTTAAAGATTGTATTTTTCAGTTTTATAATTTCTGTTCTATATTTTTATTTCTACATTTTATTTCCTTCCTTGCTTCTCATAGAAGTGTTGTGTTGTGCACCAAACACCAAAGCAAATTCCTTGTAAGTCTAAAAACCTACTTGGCAATAAACCTTATTATGATTCTGATAGCCCGGGATCGGATCGAAAGTAGAAAAAGCTGGATCCTAACATCCCTATTTCTCACCCTCCCTCTCTGTTCTGGTCTCTGTGTTTCAGCTCATGCTCTGGAGCGGATGATGAGCCCGACGGGCCCGAGCCCGAACCCCAACGTGCCGTCTGAGTACTGCAGCACCGTCCCGCCGCTGCAGCAGGCGCGCGCCGCCGGCACGCTCAACTCGCCGCCGCCCACCGTCATGGTGCCCGTGTCCGTGCTCAAGCAGCCCAGCAGCGACGGTACGGCC